AACTTATTATTTGAAAGTGAATTCGTAGGAATTTTAACAATCTAAAAATCTTCCACGCCTTTCAATCCCATTCAGTAAGCAAAAAGTACATGGACAAAATATCACGTGGGGAAGGGAGGGTTGGTATAGTAAGGTGTCACATGTATTTATTTTTTGACTAATTTTTTCAAAAAAGTTCGAACATTTTCAGTAAAAATAGCCTTTCATATTGATACCTTCGAAATTTCATTTTCAATTTTACGAAAATTCGTAAAAATTACAAAAATTAACTTTCAGACTACCTGGCGCAATTAACTTTTATTTTTAATTAACTTAATATTAATAATTTTTATTAACAAGGCTTGTAAGGTAATTATAAAGAAAATTGCACAAAATTGTATACAAAACTTAAAAGCGAAAAAACGTATGGATCGAAAAATATGAGATATTTATACTATAATAATTCTGATTAAAAGTGCGACTCATTTATAAAAAAAAAACTGATTTTTATTGCATCCATAAATTTATTAGGAACTTAACTCCCCTCTTCCCCTGTCCTGAATTTGACGTAAAAAATATGGTCATCTTAATAAAAAAACGCTAATAAAAAACAAACTACTAGTAGCGAATGGCATCATGTCTTAAGGCAAATTGCTGGGACTTCCCTTACTGTGATAAAATATTTCAAAAATATTAAATGTTTTATAATCTATTACTATATTATACTGTAACTTGCATCATTCGTAATGTATGACAAAATAAAAAAGCTAATAAATTGGATGATGATGTTTATATAAGTTTACTTAAAAAATAAATTAACGAAACTTAATGTTCCCCTTCGATGGGGAGTTAGAAAAAAGAACCTCGTCTCAAAATTCTAAGAATTATATAAAGTGAATTGCTAAGTTAAAATTATTTTTTTGAAGTATTTTAGCTAGAATTAAAATTAAAATCCGAATTATTTTCGATATTAAAAAAATATTATAAATTAAAAACCATTTCCAAAAACTAATCAGCGCTAATGCTCAATAGTAGGAATATTTACTAGAAAAGCTTTTTCAATCATTCAAATCGGTTGAGCGGTACTCCCGAAAACGTATACGAAAAACTGTATTCACACATACATACACACACACAAATCCATTTTTTCTGAGGTATGCCAAAATATTCAGAAACTCCTGAAAAGCAGAGATATGCAAAAATTTCATTTTCGATTTTTGACCCATTACTACTAACCCTAAGGAAAGTTAAAAAAAAGTGTATTTTAAACTTATAAAAATGTTATTTCAGGTTGAAAAGCCTAGGCGAAGGTTATAAATATTGATATTTGTTGTCATCTCAGGAAAAAAGCCACCATTATTGAAATTTTTTATTTATATAATTAAATCTAACTTCTTGTTTATTTTTACACATATCGCAAGGTTCATGCAACTTGGTTTAAGCAAAATGCCTCTTACACCTAGTTTAGTATATTATTGCGATACCATAAAAATTTCACCAATTGTCTTTAATTATCCGAATTTTTGTCTACTTTGAAACTGTCTCGAAAAATTATTATAAGAATACTATACTGAACGTATACTAAAAACTTCACCTAAATTACAAAATCGCTTGTCTGTTTACAGCTTCAACAATTTTTCCATATTAAACATTTAGCAATCATTTTCTTTGAAAAATTGCATGCTATTAATTACATACAAATAGTCAAAATAAAAAATATAAGATTTTTTTTTACTAAATCGAGTTTGCAATATTTCCAACAAGAAACCAGTTTGAAAGCTCATCAAGTAACTAACACTACTTTCTATTAACACGAGTCCTTAATACTACAATTTATTCATTTTCAGTTTGATTCATAGTTTTATCACCGTTGAAAACTGGATCGTTTCATTAGAATAAAAAAGAAATACTATTCAATGATTTTTTTCTTGTAATTTTTACACCTGTTCTGATATGGACAACAAGTAAAACTGTAGGATAAAAAAAATGACTTTGAAAATACAAAATCTTCTGACCATTGTCAGAGAGATTTTGAAAATTGCCATATGTTAATGCAACAATAATTAACTTCCCGTAGGGTCGACGATTTTGCGAACACGGATTAACCGATTTGAATAATTCAAAAAACATTCGATTCCTACTGATAAGGAGACGTGCTGATTAGTTCTTGGCAGAGGCATGTCTAGCCGTTTCGGAGATACGGGTCAAAAAGTGCCAAAAATGGTATTTCAGTTTTTGAGATAATCGAGCATCCGATTTAAATAATTCAAAAAACATTTCACTTGTATTGACGAAATGGACAACTGGTGAATTTTTATAGAGGCAGGTCTAGCGTCTCCGGAGATCCAATAAAAAAGTGAAAAATAATGCCATTTGGCGGTCAAAACTGAATATTAGACATATGTATATCGCATTATCAGATATTACATAAAGATTATAATAATAAATACAAATTTTGTGTACATTTATATGGATTCCGTACCAATGTTTACACGTTAGACGACTACGCGGCGCTTAATCGCTTTGATATTTCAACTCCAAATAAGCTATGATTATGGATGGAGCGTGATTGTTTAAAAAAATGTTCAGAATTTTCAAAATAAATTAAAATACAAAAAAAATCAAATTCTTCAAAAAATTCAAAATTTCTCAAAAACCCATTTTTTTTCAAAGTTTTGCAAAGTTTTTTAATAATCTAGTTTTCGGTACGGGAAGTTTCAGCAATTTGCCGTAAGGGACGATGCCATGCACCACTAGTTTCTTCTTCAATTATGTCCTGGTAGTGTGTCTATCCAATGATAAAATAAATTCATAGACATTTGCACCGTTTTGTCGATTAATCTGTTTATGAGAACTAAATTACAATTTTGCAAATCATTGTGGAAATAACACCTGAAATGATTTTGCGTTAATAATATTTATATTCCTGAGCAATTCTGATCGTTATATTTTTATGTTATTACCAACGTACTTTTGCTTACTGATAATTTGTGAAATATTTTTAACTTCCTGAAGAAGAAGTTTATTTTTTCGTCAAAACATCCGAGTTGATAATTTCATGGACTCGATACTAACCAGCACGATTTCCAAATGATATCTTTCGAATGTTTTTTTTTTTTAAATCGGTTCTGAAATTTTTGCAAAATCATTTTTTTTTTCATTTCAATAATTATTACAACTGTTAAATTATTAACATCTAGTAATATTGATAAATAATAACATAAATTTAAATAAATAAAAGTGCAAAGGATAAAATTTACATGAAAATAATATCCGTAATATGATTTGATATAAAATATAAGCAAATAATAATAAAAATAAAATTAATAAATGATATAAATAAAATTTGGCAAAAACATGTACGAACATGTTGAACTTCTCTGAAAATTTTAAAGAAACGGCTTGGCTGATAATGAAAACTTATAATCAACGCGAAAACTTATGCAGTTACATCGAATGGCCTGAAATCGATGCAACTGTTTTTGGTAAATCTTGACGAAAGATAAAAAATCGGCTCATGAACGCATGTACTATTTCCAATTTTGGTCCCAAATGATTCATAATGACTTGAAA